AGCAGTCATTCAGCTGATTTAAGCAGTCATTCAGTCAGTTTCTGAAGTCTTCAGCTGATTTCAGCAGACATTCGGCTCTCAGCACCACATTGTGTTAAATTTTTTCAACTTTTATTTTTTCAATTATTTAGACAGGTAAATCTCATCCCAAATCAGCTGTAAATTTAAATTAAAAAGTTGTTCCAGTTTAACAGATAAAAGCAGCTGAAACAACAAACTTCTTGGGGTTTTCACTTTTACAGCTTCGCACTTTAATTGATGTTTATCAAAGTTTTTTTAACTCCCGACTTTAAATATCGCGAGATTTCATTGACCAATCACCTTCGCGCTGACGGGCGTTCAGCCAATCAGAGCTCAGTTACCAGGGGAGGGAAAGCTGCTCCGTTCGCGGGTTCTCAGGCGAACATCATGGACGCGGACATGGCCGAGGCGTCGAGCCGCCAGAAACCGATGGAAAGCAGCCTAAAGACGGACTCGGAGGCCGTGGAGCCTCCGTCTCGGAGCTCCTACGAGCTGCCGTGGGTGGAGAAGTACCGGCCGCTGAAGCTGAGTGAGATCGTGGGGAACGAGGAGACCGTGAGCCGCCTGGAGGTGTTCGCCCGGGAGGGGAACGTCCCGAACATCATCATCTCAGGTCGGTGTGGCGGAAGGACCGGGTCCGATGGTTCTGCAGCAGAACCGAGCCGCAGGGGTCACAGCACACACCTGACACGGTGACCTGAACCTATTCAACTTTATTAACGACGCTAGTGCCACAAAATAAAAATATAATTTATATGAATGCACTGATGAGTTAATGTGTCAAAGTTTTTTATTCATTTTATTTCTAAAGCACCGAGTCACAACAGAGTCACAGCACTGAACAGAAACATTCATATATAAAATAATAATATTTTATTTATAACATTATCTGAGGAGCAGACTGCTTTTATACTAATAATAATAATCTTGTTATAGACTTAAAAAAAAAAGCTTCAGTTCAAGTAAATCCAATTTCCAAACATTTTAAAATTTCGAACAAAACCAGAATTATAATTTAAAACATAATCCAGTTCCACTCCCGAGAATCCAGAGGTCGCTGGTTCAACTCCCCGGGCCGACAACATCAAAATGTGGGTGGGTTAGGTGAAGCACCACACCTGCCTCCACCCTTAGCCCTTGAGCAAGGCCCTTGACCCCAGCATCTGCTCCCCTGGGTGCCCTACAGGGCTGTGGTTGATCAGGAAGAACATCTGGTGCACAGACGGTCACCAAGTGTTCGTTCTGTGGTGAAGGAGCAGCTGAAAGAAGAAAACACGAGCAAATACTTTGCTGTATTTAATTTCCCGTGTTACTCGGAGACTGTTCTTTAAAGATTTTGAAGCAGAAAAAGGTCTCATTTGTCAAAAAGCTCAAAGAATTCACCCCAAAGGTCAGACTCTACAGGTCAAAGGTCAAACCAGCATGGCAGCAGAAGTTGGCTTTGGAAAGTTTCCTCTGAAGAGTTAAGACCAAAGGTCAGATAGTTACCCATAATGCACAGCAACAAACAGCAAATGAGCTCGATCACCTCAAAGGGCCGAGCACGGCGGTGGGAGTGTGATGGTTGTAGAGTCCTGGTGAAATGCCAGAACTGATCCAGTCTGTGCTGTTGTGGTTCAGGTCCTCCCGGCACAGGAAAGACCACCAGCATCTTGTGTTTGGCCCGGGCTCTGCTGGGAGCCTCGATGAAGGACGCCGTGCTGGAGCTGAACGCCTCCAACGACAGGTGAGACGCCGAGGGGTGGGGGCGGAGTCACGTGGGAGGGGGCGGACCCGAATCCTAAAGATGGGCGTTCTGTCTGCAGGGGCATCGACGTGGTGAGGAACAAGATCAAGATGTTTGCTCAGCAGAAGGTCACGCTGCCTAAAGGTCGGCACAAGATCATCATCCTGGACGAAGCTGACAGGTGAGACGAGTCCCTGCAGGTGAGACGTGTCCCTGCAGGTGAGACGTGTCCCTGGCAGTGAGACGAGTCCCTGGCAGTGAGACGAGTCCCTGCAGGACCGTCTGTTTCTTTAAATGTGACCCGATGACCCTGCTGAGACCTGCTGCCACCTCTGTGCCTCCAGCATGACGGACGGAGCCCAGCAGGCCCTCAGGAGGATCATGGAGATCTACTCCAGGACGACGCGCTTCGCCCTCGCCTGCAACGCCTCCGATAAGATCATCGAGCCGATCCAGTCCCGCTGCGCCGTGCTGCGCTACTCCAAGCTGACGGACGGACAGATCCTGGCCCGGCTGCAGGACGTGGTGGACAAGGAGCGCCTGTCCGTGTCCGACGACGGGCTGGAGGCCGTCATCTTCACAGCGCAGGGAGACATGAGACAGGTGAGGGGGCGGAGCCTGGAGCCTGGGCGTCCAACAGAAGGCGGGTTCGCTCAGACCGGTTCTGTTTCCAGGCGCTGAACAACCTGCAGTCCACCAACTCGGGCTTCGGCTTCATCAACAGCGAGAACGTGTTCAAGGTGTGCGACGAGCCCCACCCCCTGCTGGTGAAGAGCATGCTGGGACACTGCGTGGAGGGGAACATCGACGAGGCCTACAAGGTGGTGGAGCAGCTGTGGGCTCTGGGCTACTCTCCAGAAGACATCATCGGAAACATCTTCAGGGTCTGCAAGACCTACCAGATGGCCGAGTACCTCAAACTGGAGTTCATCAAGGTGGGTCCCACCAGAACCGCTTTGTGTGTGTGTGTGTGTGTGTCCTTGTTTATGCTACTTTGTGAGGCCCATTTTTCCAACTTATACTACATTGTGAGGACCAACTGCTCCTTATGGGGCCCAAAGCCCGGGCCCCATAAGAAGAAGTCCCGTTGGTGGGTTACGGGCTAGGTTTAGGGTTAGGTATGTACTGGTAATGGTTAGGTTATGGATAAAGGTCATGGTTAGGCTATAGAAATGAATGAAAAATGAATGGAAGTCAATGCAAAGGCCCCACAAAGATAGCAAAACAAACCTGTGTGTGTGTGTGTGTGTGTCACTGCTGTAGAGAATATGAGGTCACATCTACTGCAGGTTAGACTGTAACTACTCGCCCTCACAGTGGAGGCTCGTCGGGTCCTGTGGGTCAGAGATGTCTGGGTGTCCTCTCTGTCTGACATGGGGACATTTTGGTCCTCAAGAGTGAATCTGATGATTATAATTTACAGATAATGAAAAGCTAAAGTAGAACGAGAAGATTCCAGAACCAGGTGTCGGTGTGCCGTGTCCCGCTGGAAATGAAACCAGCATCTCCATGAAGCTCGTCAGCAGCAGGAAGCATGAAGAGCTCTAAAATGTCCTGCTAGATGCTGCGTGGACTGGACTTCAGAAAACCCAGTGGACCAGCACCAGTAGAGGACATGGACCCAAACCATCACTGGCTGTGGAACTTCACTCTGGACTTGAACAATGTGGATTCTGGACCTCCGGACTCTGAGACCTTGATTTATAAATCTTTCATGTGAAAAGAGGACGTTGGACCACTGAGAGACAGTCCAGGTCTTTGTCTCCTCAGCAGGTAAGACGCTTCTGATGTCGTCTCTGGTTCAGGAGTGGCTGGACTCGAGGAACGAGACATTTGTAGCTCATGTCCAGGAGCTCATCAGCTGATCAGAGTGAGACACCATGAGTTTACAGGTGCTGGTCATAAAATTAAAATAAAAGTTGATTTATTTCAGTAATTCCATTCAAAAAGTGAAACTTGTTTATTATATTCATTCATTACACACAGACTGATATATTTCAAATGTTTATTTATTTTAATGTTGATGATTATAATTGGTAACTAATGAAAACCACAAATTCTGTTTATCAGAAAATTAGAATATTGTGAAAAAGTTCAATATTAAAAACACCTGGTGTCACACTCTGATCAGCTGATTAACTCAAAACACCTGCAGAGTCCTTTAAATGGTCTCAGTCTAGTTCTGTAGCTACTCAATCATGGAGAAGACTGCTGACTTGACAGTTGTCCAAAAGACGACCACTGACACTTTGCACAAGGAGGTCAAGACACAAAAGTTCATTGCTAAAGAGTCTGGCTGTTCATAGAGCTCTGTGTCCAAGCACAGAGGTGAAGGGAAGGAAAAGATGTGGTAGAAAAAATGTACAAGCAATAGAGATAACTGCACCCTGGAGAGGATGGTGAAACAAAACCCATTCCAAAATGTGGGGGAGATTCACAAAGAGTGGACAGCAGCTGGAGTCAGTGCTTCAAGAACCACCACGCACAGACATATGCAAGACATGGGTTTTCAGCTGTTGCATTTCTGGTGTCAAGCTACTCTTGAAAAAGAGGCAGCGTCAGAAGCGTCTCGCCAGGGACTGCTGCTGAGTGGTCCAAAGTTCTGTTCTCTGATGGAAGTAAATTTAGCATTTCCTTTGGAAATCAAGGTCCCAGAGTCTGGAGGAAGAGGAGAGACACAGAATCCACGTTGATTGAGGTCCAGTGTCAAGTTTCCACAGTCAGTGATGGTTGGGGGCCATGTCTTCTGCTGGTGTTGGTCCACTGTGTTTTCTGAGGTTCAATAGACTTCCTGCTTCCTGCTGCTGACCAACTTTATGGAGA